TTCTTGAAGACTCTGGACACAGGTCAATGCCCCTGCAGCGAGGGAGGGATTGGGTCTCTGGCTGGGAACCAGCCTGGGGCAAGCGCTGCCCAGGGAGGGGGTGGGGTGGCTCATACCACTTCATGCCACCAGTCTAGGAGCTGCTTGTGTGGCGGCTTGTCCAGTGGCTCTCGCTGCTGCTCTCGCCACCAGTCCGGGAGGGCATGGGGCAGTGGCACATGCCCCAGGATCTGCACGGGGTGGGGCCAGGGCCCTGGCTGGAAGGCAGAAGGTGCTGGGAGCAGAGGGTATACCCCCCTGCCACTCGCCTAGCCAGTGCGGGGCCGGCACAAGATTGAGCCACTGCGCTGCCTCTGGACAAGTGGTCCGCAGTGGCAGGAGCCAGCCTGGCCTCCCTGCACCTCCCGGATGAGCAGTGGCTTCACCCCAGCTGGGCGAGCAATGGCAGGGCGTGGGGGGGGGGAAATATGTGCCTCTGGATCGGGGCGGGGTGGGCGGCAGAGCAGGGCTGCAGTGCATTTTCAAGGGCCACATGCTCCTCCCCCCCCATGCCCTGCTACCACTTGCCCAGCCAGGGTGAAGCCTCTGCTTATCTGTGAGGTGTGGGGAGACCAGGCCAGCTCCTGCTGCTGTGCACTGCTTGTCCGGAGGCAGCACAGGGGCTCAGTCTCGCACTGGCCCCACACCAGCTGGGCTAGCAGTGTATGGGGCATAGTCCCTGCTCCCAGCACCTTCTGCCTTTTGCTTGGTGCAGCCTTGGCCCTGCCCGCTTTGCACAGATCCCTCCCAGACCGGCAGTGAGAGCAGCAGCAAGAGCTGCCGGACAAACCGCCGCACGAGCAGCTCCCAGACAGGCAGCATGCAGCAGCGTGAGCTGCCTCACCCCCTCCCTGGGCAGGGTTGTGCTCTGGGCAGCAGGACCCTGCTGCTGGGCTGCACTCCGCAGGGCAGGCAGAGCCAGGGCCACACTCTGGGAGGCTAGCCCCAGTTGCCCTGGCTCTGCCCACCCTGCAGAGTGCAACCCAGCAGTGGGGACTTGCTGCCTGGAGCGCAACCCTAGCTCCATCTGTTCCGCAGAGACAGCCTGATGGTGGGCAGTTGAGGCTAGCCTCTCAGAGCACAGCCTGGCCCAGCCCACCCCATGAAGATCTGGGGCATGCCCACTCTCGCTCCTATGCCTTTCCAGACTGGTAGTATGAGCCCCCTTCCCCGAGTCCCACAACCCCCAACCCTGGCTGGGCAGCTTGTCCCAGCCCCAATCCCTCACTCGCTGTTGGGGCGTTGATCTGCCCTCCCCACCCCCTTTCCCTCCCCCATCCACCCACCACAACAGACTTACCAGCTGAAGGCAGCTGTGTCCAGCATCAAGGACTGCTGCCTGTTTAGTCTGTGGTCGAATCTCTGAAGCGGCGCCGAATCTTCAGATCTGATTTGGCCAAGTTGAATCAGGACAGTGATTCGAATCGCTGAATCGAATCGCTGTCCCTCCGAATCAGCCGAATCCAAATCGAATACTTGCCACTTCACACAAGTCTAATCGCTGTCAAGGCTGCAGGATAACTTTATCCTAAAGGAGAGTTAGAGGAAATAACCTGTGTGCCTTGTCAGGCTGTGATTCTCTGATTCTTTGATGTGTTGGTCGTTCCACTTGACTGACTTGGGGTCTGCATTTTCAACAGGAGTGGCAGCTCTTGCCATTGCCAAAAGAAAAGGCTTCTGCCTTAGATAACAGCCCAAGAAGAAAAAGAGAGAGCATGTTTTAGCCAGTGAACTATTGATAGCTCCAAAGTTCACATCACCGTGCCTAGAGCTTATCATGTATTCCAACACATGGGACTTAAAATCCAGCATGTGTTGGGCTACTAAGTGCTAAAAACATGCTAGAAGTGAATTGTAAAACCCATTAAGCAGCAGGCTTTGTGGTTAAGTATGGGTAGGCTTTAATCAGTATCAGGAAAGATACTATCCTAATTTAGTGGAGAGTTGTGTTTGGAATGGAGTACTTGTGTGCCTGTGTTTCAAGGAGATTATTTCAGTTCATAATGAATGTAAAGTTTTGGCCTAAAATGTGTACAGTCCTTTTTCTTTTTCTTTTCTCTTTTCTCTTTTTTCCCCTTTTCTCTTTTTTTCGTCTCAAATAACTAACTCTCTCTCTTTTCAAAACTGAAATGGATTCCACACTTCCTATGCGACTTGATCTCCCTGACCTTCTTAGTCTTTTAAGCTGGGGGAGCAGCTAGATGAGCCCCAGCTTTAGCCGGCAGCCCCAGGAGAAGCTGCGGCTTGTCCGGCTGCTCCCCCGGCTGCCCCTGCCCCGCTGGGGCAAGGCAGGCAGTGGTGGCAGCCCCGAGAGAAACCGTGGGGCCTGGGGGGAATGATTGGGAGCTGGGGAGAATAATTAGGGGGGCTGAGGGAACTAACAGGGGCTTCCCCCCCAGTTCTTGGTTCGATTTCCCCCAGCTTCCAGTCATTCCCCCCAGTCCCTGTGGCTTCTCCCTGGGCTGCCAGCCCAAGCTGTGGTTCGTCTAGCTGCTCCCCCAGTTGCCCTCCCTCCAGGGTGAGGCAGGAAGTGCTGGCAGCCCCAGGAGAAGCCATGGGGGCTGGGGGGATTGAACCAGGAGCTGTGGGAACAAACAGGGGCTTCCTCCCAGTTCCCAGTTCGATACCTCGGCTCACCAATCATTCCCCCCAGCCCCTGCGACTCCTATCGGGGCTGCCAGCACTGCCTGCCTCACCCCGGCGGGGTGGCAGCCAGGGGAGCCGCGGCTTCTCCCGGGGCTGTTGCCTCAAGCCAGGGCTCGTCCAGCTGCTCCCACCGGCACTTCCTGCCTGTATAGTCCTATGGCTGAATATCTTCAGATTCGGCCGAATCGAATCGGGACAGTGATTTCAATCGCCAGATCAAATCACTGTCCCTCCGAATCACCGAATCCGAATCCAAAGTGAATACTTGCTGCTTTGCACAGGCCTACTGCTTAGGAAGTCATCTCCCAGTCTGTATGTGTGTTGGAGATTCCTTCTCCCAAGGTGCAGTACCTTGCACTTATCTTTGTTAAACTGCATCCTATTCTGCTCTGCCCACTTTTCCAACCTGTCCAAATCCGCTTAAATCTATTCCCTGCCCACTAGCGTGTTTACTTTGCCCCATAATCTGGTGTCATCTGTGAATTTGGACAGAGTGTTCTCCACACCCTTCATCCAGGTCACTGATGAAGATATTGAACAGCAGCGGTCCAAGGACCAAGCTTTGGGGGACCCCACTGTCCACATCTTTCCAGTTTGATGCCGACCCACCCACCACCACTCTCTAGGTTTGAACCCTAAGGCAATTTGCCCCCCACCTGCCTGTGTAATCATCTATGCCACAGCCACTTAGTTTATTTATGAGAATGGGGTGAGACACCATATCGAAGGGCTTTTTAAAATCCAAGTAAATGACATCAATCTCGACTCCTGCATCTAAACATTTTGTGACCTGGTCATAAAAAGAAACAAGATTAGTCAGGCAGGATCTACCTGCTATGAACCCATGCTGGTTGCTGTCTAGCATTGTTTTTCCTGCTGGACTCCCACAAATGTGATACGTAATTTTTTCAAAGGTTTTCCCAAGGATAGAGGTGAGACTAACCAACCTATAGTTACCTGGATCCTCCTTCCTCCCCTTCTTGAAAATAGGGACCACTTTGGCCGTTTTGCAGTCCTCTGGGACCAGACCTGAGCGCCACAAGCACTCAAACAGTTGTGCCAGTGGTCCTGCTATGACAGTAGCCAATTCCTTCAGCATCTTTTGGATGAAGATTATCTGGGCCTGCTGACTTGAACACATCCAACCCCTCCAAGTGTCCCTTCACTAAGTCGGTGCTAACTGTTGGTGAGCTGGTGTCCCTTCTGTGCCTGCCTGTAGTCCAACTGGGAGATTTGTCTTGATCTGTGTTTAGGAATACAGAAGCAAAAAACTCATTGAAAAGTTTGGCTTTGTTCCTCTTATCTGTCACCAATTGCCCTAGTCTGTCCTGTAGGGGTCCTGTGTTACTATGCACCTTTTTGCTCCCTATATACCTGGAGAAGGACTTTTTGTTCCCTTTAATTTTTGTTTCCAGCCTGATTTCCATTGCTGTCTGGCCTTCCTAACTGACTCCTTGCAAGTGTGAGCCAAGGAGGTATACTCCACCTTGGTAGCTAACCCCTCCTTCCACAGCCTCTTTTTTTCATCCCTAGGCTTTCCTGGATTTCCCTGTTCAGCCAAGACGGTTTCTTGGCCCTTTTGCCCCCTTTTATGTGCAATGGGATTGTCCCCTTCTGTGCCCGAATGATTGTTCCCTTGAGGAGCGACCACCCTTCCTGGACTCCCATCTCACCAGTGCTTTTGTCCTTCAGTGCCTCGCTTACTAACCTCCTGAGCTCATTGACGTTTTGAAGTCCTTGTCTACAAAGGGTCAGGATGGCTATTCTGGAATGTTTGTTTATTGTAAGAAATGGGTTATCAAAGTTTTTTTTTGTAGCTGGCATGTGTTTGATCTTGGTTGTCAGTACAGAAGACTGTTAGCTATTGTTGGTTAGAATTTTTTATTTAACTTTGTCAATAAAACACTAGGTATTCAGTTATATGAAACAGTTCTAAAGAGAATCTGCTTTCTAGAGAAAATGTCAGCTTCTTGTTACAATACTCATTGTTACAATACTGAACATATCAAAATCCCCAAATTATTTATTGATATTTCCATGAGAATTTGGGGGAAGGGCAGAGGGAAGGGGACCTTTCTTTTTTTTTTTTTTTCCTCAGCCTCTTCACATACTGTCGATGAAGTAAGTTAAGTTGTAATATTGTATATTATAAAATGAAGTTGTAAAACTTGAGATGCTTATAGCTATTTTGTACCTAACTCTCAGTTTCTAAAGAGAATAACTGATTATAAGTATCGGGTTGTGGAAACTCTGCTTGATAGTGGCTGTAACTTTCCCTTTCTGATGACTGGCTTTTTGTTTTGTTTTCCTTGTAGAGACTTGAAGCCTGAAAACATCCTTCTTGATGACTGTGGTAAGTAAACTCAAACTTCACCTGCTGGCATGTATATTAAAAATTGTTAAATATATTCTGAATTCAACACTGAGTTTTGAAGGAGGTTAGATATTTCCTTACCAAATCAATGACCAATCACAGTATATTAGTAGGCAAGTGTACCTATTTGTGCTTTAAAAAGTGTGCTTTTTTCCAAAAAATATAAAAAGCTGAATTTGAAGTCCTTCATACAAGCCTTAAGCATTGGATACCATCTGGATAATCAGAATTTTCACTTTCTGACATCTTCAGTTATGGGCAGAAAACATTATATGCAACGTGAACACAACTTTCTTCTAGATAAAAATTATTTTAATATCTGAACTAAAATTATGATATTATGGCTGAATGGAAAAATCATAGAAATCAGTATGCATGACATGAGTCAAATATATTTTTCTCTGCAAACAAGAATCCATACAGGATGCCACCTTCATTTTCCTTATCCCCTTCTTATACTGTTAATGTTAAAATAATCTTTTAACTCTTCCTTATAGAAGATGAAAAATGCTGTTAAGCTTTTTTCTCTTTTCTCAAAGCTGGGCTCAGCCATCAAGCTTGTTAATATTTTTAACTGATAAATATTGTAATTCTGAGGGAAAACTGTTATATGAAATCACTAATATATGTTCATTTTACAAGTCAAACAGGTGGTAAATTTCCAAAGTGGTGCATGGGAACGAGTCACCTTCCACAGGCTAACACTTTACTAGACAGCAAGTTTAATATTATTTTTTTTTCTCAAGTAAAGGCTTACAACCTGACAACTTAATTGGAAAATTGTGGCCTTGCATGGCTGCTCTAGAGCACAATGCCTCTGACAGAGAGAAGGCGTTCTTGTTTCAGAGCGCAAAGGAGGCTAATTAGAAATTGGCTTCAGGAGACTAGGTCCTGTATTTTATGGTATCACCAGATGTCAGTGAGTGGAGAAACATCCTCCTGCATTTGCAATAATAGTCTGAAGCATTCAAATTTGTATTTATTTCCTGATCTGTGTGCTGAGAGGCAGTCAGCTCTCTGAACTTTCTACCTAAATTATATATTTTGCATCAGTAAAATTCTTGCTCTGTGCTAAAAAGGAAAGAAAAAAGTCTCCCTAAAGAACTCTGGAGATCTAACTATCTATGTCTGAGAACCCTTTGCCTACTCATTGAAAAGTAACACCTAAAACTACTACATCTGACAGAGAATAGAACTGTAACCAATAAATTTGGATATGTGCTTTTTGGGGTATTAGATCTAGTTTTTATCATGTGGTTTTTCAAAATCTGTTTCTTACATGAATTCATGTCCACATGCTGGAAGGGTGTGTGGTTGCAGCAGACCTATATTGGCTTTAGTTTAGTTAGCTTGAGTAACAACAGCATCAAAGACATGGCAGCACAGAAGACTTCACTTTGGGTTGTATAAGACCACTGGAACCTTGATATGTACTAAAGTTGCTTGTTTGTACTGAAGTCATGCCAAAACTGCTGTATTTACTAAAGCTAATGCAGATATACCTATACATGCTGCAGTTACAGTATAGACATGCCCTTAGTTGTTCCTTACATACCACAGTGAGAGTGTCAGTTTTGCCGCCCCCCCCCCCCCCCCCCCCCCACTCCAACATGTGCACCTGGACTTTCTGGTCTGCCTTGTAGAACAGAAACGAGTTTGACCACTTCTTGCCATGCATTATATTGCATTTCCTTGGGTTTGTAATCCACTGTAGTCAGGTGCTGGATAATGGAATGACCTTCCAGGAAGGTTAGTTGCAAAATAAATAGAAGTAATTCTGACTAATAAGCAGCTGTAGACCAATCAGTGGCAACACCATCAGGATGTGGTGGGGACAGCAGATGGTAATGGTTTGAAAAGCCACATATATCCATTGATAGTGCTGTGATATGGTGAGTACAGATTTCCATTATAATAAGCCTGCCCACTCTCCCAGCCTTGGGTCCTCGACAGCACAGCAGGCAAAAAACGATGTTGGATTTAGAATCTCAACAGCTGTGAAAGTGGACGAAGGCTGCAGCACAATGAGATCTCCAGTTGTCTTGTCCCCCTTGCCATTGGATCGAGGTCCTGTTCTGTCAAGAACTATTTGGAAGCTGATGTGCAGCAGCTTCTCCACAGTAAAAGAAATCACGTACAGGCGTCTTCCATGAATACGGCTTTTCCAGCACATCCTTCAAGTCCTTTGGCAACCAACTATTGACAACAGGAGTAAGTTTGTGAGGTCTGGAAACTCACAGCTGTCAATCATGAACTGGCACAAAGGCAGTACCCTTACCGTGGTCAAAATCAATGAAGACATGCAATCAGTTTCAGGACCTGGAACATCAGGACCCTTGCGGACAATCCTAATAGCAAATACCTAGAGTGCCACGCCGCAATTGTGGCTTGAACTCGGGCAACACAACATTGACATTGCTGCAGTGAGTGAGAGCTGGCAAGTGGGAGAAGGGCAGCTTAAAGAACAAGGACACAGCTACACCTTTTTCTGGAAGGGTAAACAGGAAGGAAAATGTCAGCAGGACTTGGGGTGCCTTCAAGTCCACCATCATCAGCAACTGTGAAGAGACACTTGGATTCTGTATCAGAAAACATCAAGACTGGTTCGATGAGCATGACCAGGAGATCCAAGACTTGATGGACTGCAAGTGCAAGGTCTTTTATACTTAGCAGGACGACATCAACTCCAGGCAAAAGAAATTGAATCGCCAACAAGCCAAGGCAGAGGTCCAAAGGAAGACCTGCAATATGAATAGATGGTGGGAAGACAAAGCAAAAGAGATTCAACATCATGCTATCACGGTGATATGCATGATTTTTTCAGTTCCACTCAAGCCATTTACGTTCTGAGCACTCAGGACAAATGCCCTTGACACCTATGGATGGAGGAGACCAGATCAAGTAAAGGGGAGCCATCAATGCCTGTTGGAAGGAACATTTTGAAGACCTTTTCAATTAAGGCTGTGCTGCTGATGAAAGTGTTCTCAACTTCCTTCTGCAACACCCAGTGAGAGACTATCTTGGAATCCCTCCAACCCTTGATGAGTTGAAGAAAGCCATCAAGCAGATGAAAAATGACCAGCCATCTTAGATTCATAGATTCTAGGGTCGGAAGGCACCTCAGTGGGCCATCTAGTCTTACCCCTGCACCTGGCACAAATGCTGGCGTGCCCTTTCATCTGGAGCTAATGGATTCTCCACTGCAATCTTCAAGCAGGGGGCAGAGGAGCTCACATCACAGCTCTATGCCCTCGTCTTAAAGATCTGGAATGATGATGAAATCCCAGATGACCTCAGGGATGCTGTGATCATGACTGCCTTCAAGAAAGGAGACAAGTCCAACTGTGGAAATTACAGAGGGATTCCTTGCTGGCCGCCACCAGAAAGATCATTGTGAGAACCCTCCTGAACAGTCTCCTTCCACTTACTGAAGAACCCCTCCTGGAATCTCCACGTGGTTGTAGGGCATTAAGAGGCATAACTGACGTGATCTTCACTGCTTGCCAGCTTCAGGAAAAATGCCAGGAACAACATAAACTTCTCTACATGGTCTTTGACCTCACAAGAAGCTTTGTGGAGGATCCTTCTGCAGTATGGACGCCCACTGAAATCCGTTGCCATTCTTTGCCTGCTTCATGACAGTATGCAAGTGCTGGCTCTCAGTAATGCATCTATCACAGATCCCTTTGAGGTTAAGGTGGAATTTAAGCAAGGTTGTGTCATCACCAGGGATCCTGGTTTTCCCTGATTAAAAAAAAATTGAAAATTATCTGATAAATCACAAATTCTCTGATTAAAACCCCACAAATCCATTATTAAAATGAAAGGCCCCTCACTCCCTCCCACAGCCCCCTGGCCCTGCTGGTGCTGCTTAGTCCCTGCCGGAGAGGGCCTCCAGCTGCCAGAGCTATGGGGCCAGGGCCCTGGCAGGAAACGGTGGCTGCTGCAGCAGAGTTCTCCCTTGCTGCCTGCCTGCTGTGGGCATGGGTGGGAGGGCTGGCTTCTTACCACTGCGCACACTTCCGGGGGGCGGAGGGGACCTGTACCCCCCAGATCTGTGCATGGTGTGGTTGTGGACTGCCTGCTGTGGGTTCAGGCTCCTGCCCTGCTGCCCTCCCCTTGGGCCTTTGCAGCCCAGCAGGTGTGACCTGGTGCTGCAGGGCTGTGCAGGGATCTCTTTGCTGCTGCAAACTCCATGCTGCCCTGGTGAGGTGTCCACTGCACAGACGGCATCAGCTAGGGGCTCAACCCTGTGCTGCTGCCCCTGCTGCTATTGTGCAGGTAGGAAATGTGTTACAAGGACAGTGCAGAGCTTGCAGTGGCAAGGAGACCCCGCACAGCCCTGCTGGGCCCTGTAGCACCAGGTTGCACCTGCTGGACTGTGGAGGCCCTAGGGGAGGAGCCCAAGTCTGCAGCAGGTAGCCCACCCCACTCCTGCCCCGCAACCCTGTTCCGCTCCCCGTCAGGGCCCTGCAGCTACGCATTATAGCCCTGAGCCCCGAGTCCCATGCACCACCCAGCTAGGCAGCAGTCCCAGCCCTGCCCAACTCCCTCTGTCCCTCACAGTGCAGGCCTCAATCTCCCTGCCTGCCCCATCCCCCCCAATCCATCCATCCATTGGCGATGCGCTTCCAGTTTCACTGTTGGCTTGTCAGCTGGCCCCTGGAGAACCCCCCCATCCCACTTACCTGCAGGAGCTGCTTTCTAAGCTTCCTGGAAGCCATGTGCATATACATGCACATGGCCCCCCCGCCTGACTGCCCTTCTACTTCCTCCCAGCCCCTTGCAGGCTGGGACCCTGCCAGCCTGCAAAGAGCTCTTTGCAAAATCCATGGGTTTTCATTAAAATGAGAAATCCACATTTTCCTTTAGTAAAGGGGAAAATCCGTGGTTTTCTCTGTTTTTCCATGGGAAGTGGAAAACCTGGGTCCCTGGTCATCAATTCAACACTTCTCAATATTTCTTACTGTGATGCATCTGTCCTGCAACAAGCTTCCAGTTAGAGTGGAGCTAAACTACCAAATGGATGGTAAGTGGTTTAATCTCAGCTGACTCTGAGCCAAAACCAAGACCATCCTGACCTCACTCATTCAGCTCCAATATGCTGTTGATGGTGTAGTGTGTACTCACTTGAAAACAGACCTTCAGGCAATCATTGGCATCTTTACTGAGGCATATGAGAAAATGGAGTAACATTTAACATTCAGAAAACAAAGTTCCTCTATCAAAAAGCTCTTAATGAGCAGTCCTCAGCTCTGGTAATTCAGATTCAGAGTGAAACTCTGGAGAACATTGAGTGTTTCCCATACCTTGAAAGCCATCTTTTGCAGAAGGCTGACATCAAAGAAATCCAGCATTGCTTCAAATGTGCAAGTGCAGCCTTTAGATGCCTGAGCAAACAGGTGTTCAAAGATCTGAAACCGAGCTGATGATTATCAAGCAGTCATGATCCCCACCATACTGTAACATACAGAAAACACCAAGTTGCTGCAGAAGTACCATCAAAGCTGCCTGTGCCCTTTGGATCCAGTGGGTAGACACCCATACCAACATTATCATCCTCTCGCAAGCAAACACCACAAGTATTGAGGTGATGATCATCCAACATCAACTTCACTGGGCCACCCATGTCATCCAGATGTGTGACTCCAGACTCCTGAAGCCAGTATTATTCTCCCAGATCAGTCAAGGCATACACTCGGAGATAGCGGAGAAAATGCTTCAAGGACATCCTCAAGGCCAACTTGAAAAAATACAGTATCAACATCAAGTTGTGGGAGACTTGTTGCCCAGGACCACCACAAATGGAGGAAGAGTCTGTTGCAAGGATCTCAGTACTTTGAAAACTTACAGCAATAACGGGAGATGGAAAAGTTGGAGCAGCAGAAACAGCGTGTCATGGACCAAACCAAAAACCCAGAGCCACCTACCCCACATGGAAATATGCATATATCCCAAGCTGCACATATCCCAGATAGGCCTTGTCATCTCTCTTTGGACCCACAGACAAGACAATCATCCTTGACTGCTGAGAATTGCCTATGATGAGATTGCCACTGATATGTTTTGCAGAAACTTTGGTATTTCTGAGTTCCTTTCAGAATGCTTGATTAATGAGAAACTGAAGTGCAACATGCCCTGTTTTATAGATCTTGAGGAATAAAAAATATACATTGTGATTTTTGTTTTTCAAGATTCATTAGCTTGCAATCTTGAAGCAGCAATGATGAGCAAAGATCTTTCACTCTGATTTAGTAGCAAACTCATTCTGATTAGGTTGCTGCTTGAAAAACCTTTTTCTTTTTATACTTAATATTGAATAGAAAATTAGGAGTCCATGAGAGAGACAAAAAAGGCCATTTCATTAATGCTGAGTCCTCTTCTTTATTACCATATTTGCTTGCATACAACCCCCCCCTCCAAATTGGGGTGTGTATATTAAGCAGGGAAGATGATTTTTCTGATCAGGATAGGAGTACTCTGCTTTGATTCCTGTGCCACACTGCAGCAGGTGTTGTATTACTATTCAGGCAGCTGAGGGAGTCAGTTGACATAATGGCTCATTGTTCTTTACTCCAGAAGTGTTAACTATCTTTTCTCCTTTCTTAATGGTCTTGATGTTCCATTAATTAAGCTAACCTTTCTTAGGGCAGTTTTGCTGTCTGCTACCTGCTGGTCTCTGGTTTCATAGCTCTGGAGACTCTTAAGCTTTTCTCAGAATCATAGATCCACCCATGGAAACCAGTCTTCAGCAGAGTATTCTATTGTAAACTGAGCCACAGGCTTCCCATCATCTCAAATGCAGCTCATTCTCTGTGCCATGGCTTGCTTCTCTCTAATACAGAGAAAGGGAGGAAAACAACTTGTAGTGAGTTTTGGTAAAATTAAAAAATAGTAGTAAATCTTGAAATTCAGTATTTTTAAAAGTTAATGTACTTGTATTCGTTGCTGAATTTGTGTAATTCATTTTAATTGAAACAGGACACATCAGAATTTCAGACCTTGGATTAGCAGTACAAATCCCAGAAGGAGAAACAGTCAAAGGGCGAGTTGGAACTGTTGGATACATGGGTATGTAAAATGCATTCAGCTAAGTAGTACCATATCAGTGAGCTATATTATATTTGAATAAGTATGGAAGACTATATCATACAGAGCTATGTTGTTTCCAACTTGATTGTATAGCAGAAAGAAAAGATCCAGTATGTGGGAAGATGTTAATAAAATAATAACTTTTCTGATAAATTAACTAAATTCAATTTAAATTTACCTTTATAATTTAATCGTTCTGGGTAAAACGTTCCAAATCATCTGACTTCCCCTGAGGTTCACTGAGGCTTAAGGTAGAAGTGCAGAAGTCAGTGGTCAGTTAGGCACTTTTAAACATTTTTATCCTCGATTTTTAAAAAGAAAGGTGGGGGGGAAGATGATTAAGGATAATGCTGATCTAGGGAAAAAAGGCAATTGGGACTCACTAGTGGGGAATATAAAGAGCAAAAGAGTCCTCAGTTAAGGGACAAATGCTTCCTCTGAGCATAATCTTTGAGTTTAAAGGGCATCCCATACTTTTTACTATACCATCTTTTCAGATAAACTGCAACTGTAGTTTAGATTTGTTTTACTGTTCAAGAACAATATATCTGAATCTTTTTTTTTATTCTTCTCATAGCTCCAGAAGTTATCAACAATCAAAGCTATACATTCAGTCCTGATTGGTGGGGTCTCGGCTGCCTAATTTATGAAATGATTGAGGGACAATCTCCATTCAGGAAGCACAAGGAAAAAATCAAACGGGAGGAGATTGAACGAAGAGTAAAGGAAGAGCAGGAGGTGTATTCAGACAAGTTTTCAGAGGAGGCAAAATCTATCTGCAGGATGGTGGGTGAAGAGACATAGAGGTTTGGAAATTAAATTTCTAACACTTTTTTAAAAAACTGACATTTTAAATTTTAGTCTTTTTTTTTCCCCTCAGAAGTATTTCAGAAGTCAAGTGACCTGGCTCTAGATGGCTGATGTAGGTGTCTTTCTGATTCCAACAAATTTATTATATAAATAATTCTATGCTGTTGTCAAACTTACTTTTTTCAGAGTTCTGAATTCTTATTTGTGCATTGTCTGGTGAGGAATAGTGTACTTTGCAAATGGAGTTGTTTGTATACTTAAGCTAAAGTACATACAATATATACTAAATGCATGGAGCATGGTTAAGCCTATTCAGTTCAAATCCTGAAATTTAATATGGAAAGCAAATAGAACTTCTCATGTGCAAGAAACAATCCATGCAAGATAAGGTTAAAAAATAAGTTCCTAATTGCTTGAAGTAAAATCTACTTAAATTTTGGTAACACAGACCTACACAGCAGCAGAAGAAAACTTTACCAAAAAATATTTTTCCATTATTCTGTTGTCATTCATCTACAAAATCACCTATGCTAGAGTTAGTTGATCTGTATTTAATGGAAGTCAGTGTTACTAAGTTCATAAACATATGCATATACTTTATGATTTTCTACATTAAATATCTTTGGTAAAAGCTTCAGTTGCTAAAATCTATCGTGTTCTGTTTTTATAAGTGCTTTATAATTAAATTCATGAAATTATTTCTATGCTTTGAAATGGCTCTTGTAGGCCAGATTTCCTGTTCATTTTGCTTAGAGCATTAAATTTCATGTTTCAAAGGCAAAAGAGCCAAGTCCGCTTCATATTTTTTTTTCTCTTGAAATGCTCTGTAAGAATATACTTTTATTTTGGTACTTTATAAAATAAAAGCCTCAGAGACATTGTTCCTATTTCTGTGCAGTTACTTGCCAAGGATCCAAAGCAAAGATTGGGCTGTGGTGTCGATGGAGCTGCTTCTGTAAAACAGCATCCCATTTTCAATGGTATTAACTTCAAGCGACTGGAAGCAAACATGTTAGATCCACCTTTTTTGCCAGATGTAAGTAGGTGAGACACACTTGTCTGGTATTGAAACAAGACTTGACATGCGCCCCTGAACGTCAAATAATCAGCATCCATTTGAATATGAGAAGGGTATAGTAGATGGATTTTATCTTCAAACATGGGCAAACAGGGAGGTAGCAATATCTGTAGATAACTGACCTCTAAATATTGTTAGTCAAGACTTGGAGATGGTGAGGAACTCCAGAGAGACGTAATAAAACAAGATAAATGGGCACCACAAGTTAAGTGTTGGTTAATTATGATATTCGGCTGCTGTAATGGTGCCTCATCCCTAGATCTCAAAATAATTTGCAAAGGAGATACTGCTTCAAGATACTGCTTCAAGTTGACTTTGCAGCTCTTCCAGTCACTGCTTTCTTTGCCTAAAGCTGCACTGGAATGGGGGTGATAAGTAGGAACAGCAAGAATCAACTGCTACAGTCTCAGAAGCAGGGAAGGGAGCAAGCTGTGCTTTGTTTCCTCTCAGGGCTCCCTTTGATCCCAGGAGCTATGAATTTTGCTGCTCTTAACTGGCTGCATGCAACTCATCAGGTGTTCTTTTTATGACCCTCTACAGGTTTCACAGCCCCATCTGGGCAATAGCAATATAATACAAGCAGTTTAGTGACATCCTTTTTTGAAATTCAGATTATATCAGTGATATACAACAACAGGAGCCTGCGAAATGCTCATTCTTTTCCAAAATAAAAAACCCTTCTTGTTTCATATTGCAGCCACGTGCAGTGTATTGTAAGGATGTCTTGGATATAGAACAGTTCTCCACAGTAAAAGGAGTGAACCTGGATACTGCAGATGATGACTTCTATTCCAGATTCGTTACTGGTTGTGTTTCAATCCCTTGGCAAAATGAGGTACTGTACTTTCAGCAAATTTTGTTAGTGCAACAATAACAAAGATTGAAAAAAATGCATCATTCTTTGACTATGCTCTAAACTTTCTTAATGATTTTTTTTATGAAGTCATCGTCATCTTTTTCTTTTAATGTTCCCAGGTAAGGGTCAAATTAAGAAATTAACAAGAACCCACGGGCCACACTTAATTCACATAAATGAAACAGATGCAAGCTTCATCACCTTCTGTTGTGCCAGATGCACCCTGTAGAACAGTAGCACCCACCAGTTAATACTAATGTGTTTCTTTTTTTGTCTCATCTTAGAAAGATAAATCTAGTATTGACTTTCAAAGCAGGAGGACCTTACAAAATGCTGTTCAAATGGGGAGGTTGGGTGGGTGAGATGCATTCAGTGCTTACTGTCATGCTTTTCTCAGTAAACTATGCAGCCATGGTGTACAGTGCCAGAGCTGTGGATTGTCCTTGCTAAAGGATTCAGAACGAGATGTTGCTTAACATCCCTTGTTAAGTGAAACCCAACCTGCTACTGTTTTCTAAGCATTGGAAACAGATTACTTAATAAGGGGTTTAGGATGCTGCATAGACTATGTTCTTTCTACTGATATTATAGGCAACCTGGGTTGATTGTAATTAATGAAACTGCATACCCAGGGTTCCCTTTTCTAGGCCAAGCTCTCTGAAGATAGGAGAGCTGAAGGTCAAATTATCTATATTTACACATCCTCCATGGATAAAATCCAGTGGCAGTTGAGAGAGCTGCTACTTAATGCAGTATGGCCAATGGAAATTCAGCAGAAAATCGATATGTATAATATATGTGATCATCTTCATGACCATGTCCACATTATTCCTCATGCACACAGGTGTTTCATGGTCATACCGAAAGTTTTAAAAGTGAGAGACACTAATTCAAATGTTCTTACTTTATATTTCAAGTAAGAATCATAGAAAGCTGGCTTGAGATGCAACTTCCATACATCTTCAGTACATGGCTACTTTTAGGCTTATTTATAGGCATCTTAGCTGTGTCTAGATGAGTGCAGCTGTACAGTATGTGCTGCTGCAAACACATCTGCGGTGCCACATACTGCACATTTAGATGTTCTCTGTGCTGCAAGGGCATGCTGCCCATGCTTGTGCTGCTCTGCTTTTTATTTCCATGGAAAAAGACAGTGAAGCAGCACATGCAAGGGAAATGTGCACTGCTCAGAAGGGGAGCTGGGCTGCTGGGAGCCATGATTTGGCTGCTGGCCAGGCTCTGTGCAGAAGAATTGCCACTGCTGCAGCCCCAGGAAGACCCCAGGACCCCAGGAAAGGCTGCTGGGGCTAGTCCAGTGCTGGCCCCAGCTTTCCTTACCAAGGTTTCCGCTAAGCTGCATATGTGCACAGCCGCGCACGATAAAAAATCTTTCCGCACACTAGCTTTTTAATGCCCAGCATCCCCATGGGGAGGGAGAGCGGCACGGGGCAGGCAGTGGCTCCTCCCCGAGGCGAGGTGGGAGCGGGGACTGGGGCTAGGGCAGAGCCAGGCACCATGCAGGCTCCACTGGCTCTGGGGAACTGCTCTGCTCCCCAGCTCCTTCGGGCGAGCTTTGCCCCGAGCCTTGACGCCATATGCCTCTTCACTGCTTGGTCTGCCCAGCGGTGGGATGCACAGGGCACCACATCGCTTTCAAAGGCTGCAGCAAGGGGCTGTAGAAGTTTGTGCAGATTCTGTTGCAGTGGTGCAGTGAGCACGGGAGACTGCACGGTTGTACCGTTTATATGACTGAGGAGCATTGGACTTTATGGCAGGGCTTTAAGGAGACCCTCAGAGAGTCAAGATGCATAATGATGAGGGGTCACAGTGTGCCCTGTGGGCTCAGGCCAGCGCTCAGGATCTCAATATCGCTCTGTTAGATGGGAGGGCGTGGTGTACAATTGCACATATACAAATGCACAAATCAATTGGTCAATTAGGTGCATACACACACACTAGGTACATACACTCATACACTACCAACTCAGGCACACACACACATCCAGAATTACCAACCTAGGCACATACACACCTAGTACCAATTCAAGCTCATATACACTATACACATGAAAAGTTAGACAAAAATCAGCTGTCAATACCCGCACACCCAATACACGTACATGGATCACTAATTCGTATATCATACACACAATAATATATATATATTCACCAGTTCTCACACAAACCACCCACCTATACATACACACAGGTGAGTTCCTAACTTGGATGGTATGGTATGTATCTGTGTGTTTTGGGGTACTTGGGATACCTGGGGGAAGGTTAAGGTGACAGAGAAAGTGTAAGTAGTGAAAGTTGCCAGAACTAGGATTAGAAACGAGAAGCTGGCTGAGGAACTGAAGCTTAGGGTTACTTAAGGTCAAGTGGCCCCAGGGTTACTCAAGGTCATTGGTGCAAAGGAAAAAGCCTGGTAGCAAGGAGGAGACGGCCAGGAAAGAGAGAGAGGCAGGCAGCTGGGAGCTTGGGGCCGGAAGCTGGGCGATCAGGGGCAGATAAGTGGTGGCAAGGAGGAAACAGTTAGGAAACAGACAAAAAACAAACTCGGGGTTTCAAAATAACAGATTTATTAAACAGACAACACACTACACAGCCCCATGAAGTTATTGGCTCTCACACACACACTGGCAGCAGGAGAAAGAGACTCAGTGGAAGGGTTGGAGTCCAGGTAGGGAAGAGAAACAGAATCCAAGTCCTTGGTTGAAGAGGGGGTGGGGGACAAAGACCCCTTACCTATCCAGGCTGGAAAGGGGTCTTTGTCCAGCAGGTGTTGTCCAGAGGGGGTCGCCAGCAGGGCCTCTGGGTGGATAGGTGGTGTGGCATGGTGCTGGTCCAGATGGAGAGGGTGTCCCAAGGAGTCAGTCTTCACTACCCCTTTTTATGGGGCAGACTACTTCTGATCTCCTATGGGGAGGTCCTGTCCAGGCAAGGTCAGTCCTGTTCCAGAGGGCTCCAGGTGTTCTTACTGAGTGTGTGCAGCCTGGCACAATGGTGGGTTGCCTCATCTTTTGTCTTGAATACTGAGGGTGGTTCCAATGGCTGGGTTGTTAGTCCAGGTATTGGTTTTGATGGTTCGGTCATTCAGAGGGAGCTATTTTTAGACCTGCTGCCATGGTCTCTCAAGCACCCTCATTCATCCCCATTCATTCAGGAACCAAGTTACATAGGAGTAGTAGGTATGAGTCATAGGTTACAACATACTTACACACCTAGGCATGGGGGCAAGATGTAGACTTGACAGACAAAATGGAAACTTGACATGACTTATGCTGCCTTACATATGTAGGCCTAAATCATATAGTATCAGTAAAACAGTAATATAGAACAGTAAACAATAATTATACAATGTAAAGGAGAAAAAATCAAACAAATACAATTTGCTACCAAAATAAAATGCTGAAGCTTATCCGATGTCTTAGCTCACTTATACTTATCTATAGGGAATAGAGAGGGAGAGAAAAAGTCAGAAATGGTTGGGAAAGGGGAGGGAATGCATTTTAAAATTAAAAAAAAAAAAAGAAAAACTGGAGTTTGCTACAACAGCAGGAGTGCAGCAGGGGTGCAGTTTGCAAATTTAGGGCAAGCCTGCAAGGATGGGAACAGGTGTGACTCTGAATTTCCCAAGTACATGCTTGAGGCCTGTCCTTCCTCCAGGATTTCAGGGAGAGCTGGGCACCAAGGTAAACTTTTTGCCCAAGGGGCAGAAACTTAGAAGTTTAACAAAACAGCTCATTTATCTTCCCATCAGGGGCCACCCACGTGCCCTCACTTGGCTGTCTGGCACCCATCAGGAGGGGCCTGGGCTCTTCCCGGGGATGACTTATGGTCATTGGCCTTACAGTTGAATCCAAGTATAATAGTTGGTTTTTGGTTTATTTCTTTAAGTTTAACAACAAAAGATGATTATTTCTTTTACCGTGGGGCGGACCAAAGCAGTGCACACCAAAAGGGAGACATGGGACCAATTTGGGAATGGACTGATGTGGCACGCTCACAGAGTGAAACGGCACGCTCACAGATCATTACATCTTAGAGGGAACATTGTTCCCTACTCAGCCCAGAGTAAGTTGTGGACCAAAGCATGCGTGGCACAGGTGTTCCCCAGGGACCAGTAGCGGCAGTGCAAAGTGCACTGCCACTACTTGTCCTCAGGAAACCAAACATCCACGTTTGTCTGGACGCAACCCTTGATAGCAAATCATTGGATCTATGCCACAGGGAGAATGACTGGACAGAAGGCTTCTCAAGCAGTCCATGGCTCTTGTGGTGGCATGGTTTGTAGCTGGATATAGGATAAATAATAAAGTACCTTTAGATTGCATAAGGTGGTCAAAGCTACTTCTGTGCTGTCTCTCATATCAACCTGCACAGGCTGTAAATGAGATGAAACAAAGAATTTAATCACTGAGTCATTTGCCAGGATCCTACAGACCATAGCTTGTATCAAAAGGCACCTTGTTTTGGAGGCTTCATGTGACTGACTTCTCATTTGCATCACTTATTTTTCCATGTAGATGATTGAAACAGAATGTTTTGAAGATATCAATGCATATGAAATGGATAGCACCTTGACACCAGATGTGGACATGAGCAAACATACTCCTAGACCAAAGAAAGGCTTCTTTCATAGACTCTTCAGAGGAATGGTAGGAGGGCTTCCTGTGCATTTTGTGGGAAGTAAAATACAAAGTAATAGTTAAAAAGCAAAGTCACAAGGGAAGACCAACCTTGCTATGTCTGTCAAGTGACAGACTCAACACTTTTATAGTTTATCTTAAAATGGAGATGTAATGCATTGTAAAAGTGTATTAGATCAGAACAGGGTGGGCACAATACAACTCCCGGCTGGATCTGGTCCACCAACTGATTATATCTGGCCCACAGGTCAGCAGCTGCAAAGTCATAGGATCTGGCCCATAGGAGCTGGTGGTTCCAGCTGCTGCATTGTGCTGGGTAGGCAAGCACGTCCCAGCCCCATCCCAACTCCATCCATCCAGTTTACACCAGCTGTGGCCCCACACCCTTGAAGCAGTGCTGGGTGCATGCTGGTATAGCTGTGGATGGCGTCTACAGGTTCCTGCCAGGTATCAGGACGACTGCCTTGGACCACAGCTGACACAGTGCTGTAGTAACATCACCTGCGGACCTGGGAGGATGCCCTGATCCCTAGCGGGAACCAGCTGCCTGCATCTGCAGCTGATTCCAGCGCCTGCCTAGTGCTGCCCGCAGTGCATGAGCCAGGAGTGAGTGTAAGCTTCTGGGCCATGCTGTAGGTGCAGAGCGGTTAGGCGGGTAGGGGGAGAAAGGAAGAGAGATAAAGAAAGGCCGCCCTGCCAATGATGAGCAGCAGTGGCTGGTGCCGTGTGCCAGACAAAAACAGGACCCGGCACCAAGCACACTTGCCATTTCCATGGCCTGTACCATGGCTGCCCTGCAGCTCCTCCCTTCTGCCACTGCCCATCCCACCTTCAGGTCACCCTGGGCCTGCAGGGTGGCAGTGGCAGGGGCAGCAGCAGGGAGGAACTGCAGGGCAACCCCAGCGTGGGCTCCAGGCAGCCGTAGCCAGAAGGGTCCTAGAAGTGGCGACCGCGCCCACTACTGGGTCCTGCTTTTACCCAGTGCCCAGCACTAGCCACTGCTGCTCATCATGGGCAGGGCCACCTCTGTCTCCCCCACCCTTCCTCTCCTGCTCCCCCCTACCATCCTGTACCTATAGCACAGCCCCGCAGCTTTCACCAGCTCCCAGCCTGTGTGCTGGAAGCAGCGCTGGGTGGGTGCCAGGATCACTTGTGGACACAGGCAGCAGCTTCTCCCTGGGGATTGGGGCATCTGCCCAAGCCCTTCCTAGGGGTAGAAGGATGGGCCTGAGGTTGAAGCTGGTGCCCACACCCATACCAGCTGCTCCTCTCCCCCCTCCCACAACCCATCGCACATAAGTTTGGTGAGCTGTTATGGAGGCAGTGGAGGAGGGGATGGACTGACGTGGCCTGTGACAGCTCCCCAAAACTCCCTATGTGGCCTTCAGGCCCAAATAATTTGCCCACCCGTGGATTAGAAGGAGATACCTGAAATGACTAAATACATAGAGGCTTTTAAGAATTTTTAAGGGTGTTTTATAGATGGAGCTGACAGTTTTTTTCAGTCATTTTAGGGTATGTACCGTGTTTCCTAAAGAAACAGATTGAATTCATTTTCCAAATCTAGCATTCAATAAATATTTAATATACCTTAAAAACCTTGATCTTTAAAAACCATAAGGAAGGCATATTTTTGGTTTAAATTCTCCTTTTTGTTGTTACTCAACTTATATGAAAGATGTAAAAGAGGTAGTATTAATTATTCAAAAAATAATGCACTGTCAAAATATTTCAAACACAAAGCCAGAATATGTATACAGTAAAACACTGTTCTTTCTCACATACAGCATGTCCCTGAATATAAAACATACCTTGTTTTTTGAAATGCAGAAAGAAAAGAAAAAAGAAAGAAGAACAAAAAAGATTTTTTCAGTTATGGCTGCATAGAACAGACAGAGCTTCAGCTCACTCATCCTTCCCTTTCCTGCTTAACTAAAGCTGAAACCCTAGTTGTTGCTAAAGACTGGTTTCCATAGCTGGATCTATGATTTTGAAATCTATGATTTTTATTTTGAAAAGAGCTTAAGAGTCTCCAGGCTGTGAAATCATAAGCCAAAACAGGAGCTGATAGTAAAATTGCCTGCTCAAAGATTAGTTTGATTAGTAGAACATCAAGCCATTGGGAGGAGAAATAATCATTAACGCCTCTGGAGCGAAGAACAAACAGCCATTAAGTCAATTGACTCTCTCAACTGTCTGAATACTACTATAACACTTGTGTACTGTGGAGCAGGAATCAAAGCAGGGTGCTTCGATCCTAATCAGAAAATCATCTTCCCCACTTAGTACATGCACCCCAATTTTGCAGGGGCTGGTTTTATGGGGAAAGGTACATGCTGTGGGTGAGGAACTATGGTGATATTTCTATTACTGAGTCAACCCAGTACCTTGCTGATCAAACATATACAGAACACATAACAAAATACCAAAAATTTCAGCTTGCACTCCTGAATTCATTCAGTTGTTTCATTTGGTGAATGGATAATAATGAATTGGCAAATATACCAATAGTTTGTATGACTGAAATCAATATTTGAGTCTTTTGCCACAACTCTGCTTCACCCATTTGGATCATATTTTTGATTTTGTCCTAAGAACTGTTTTTTGCATTGATGAACAGTCTCTTCAAATATGACTGGAGGTCCTTCAATCATAATACAAAATTTATTAATAAAAATATAATTTCCAAGTAAACTCAGAAATGGAAATCAAGAACCTAAGATGAAGTTTTTAAAAAGTTTGAACTTTGATTTGTGGAAGCCTTTTATTTTCCTTTTGATATTTCTAAAGTAGTTTATGTAGTAGAAAAGCTATATTCTTAAAAAAAAAAAAAATCACCAGCTATTGTTTAACTAAATGAAGTCATTTTGTCTGGTCTGTTCCTCAGGTCTGCTTTAAATCGAGTTACAGTGATAATGAAGAGGAGTCCTCTAGACTTTGAATTAACTTTCCTATCACCAAAAAACAAAAGGATGAATGAGCTTCAAATGTTTTATATCTCTGTAGCAGAGTATATTATAACTTTTATAAAAATTAGCTATGTTTTTGTACATTTGTACTTCAGTTAAGATGTATATTTTCCCGATTTTTTTTTCTTTTTTTTTTTTATTGTACAGAAAGCCATGAGTACCACTTAAAAGTGTGTGTGCATATGTAAAATAATTACATTTGTAATTCTAATGAGTCTAAAAAATATTGAAAGGGGTTTTTAGAGCACAGCTAATATCTGTGCCTAGAGATATTTGGTTTTGTTCCTAACAACTCAACTTGGAGGCTCTATTTCTTATTCAGCAGAGCTGTGAGGGGGGTATTCATAACAGTACAATTGTTATATTGATTTAGCCAAATATTTCTGGTGTTAAAAGCACTTCAATACTATTAGATTTCAGGTTGCAATTTAATGTATTTCTTAAATAATTTAAAATGAAATCATTAGGAAAAGAAGGAATTAATTTAGTACACTGTGACCAGTTTATGTAAAGTTTTTTTTTAATATGTTTTTGTTTTCAGTGTGTTTCAAAATGTATGTTTTATATATTGTGTATTCTGAAGATTGCCTTGATCTTGCAACAATCTTCATCTTGCTAAATATTGATAGAAGGGGATAACAATGGCTTTCTCAGCAAGTATTTATATACCCTGTCCCCCACATGCCTTATAAGAAAGATTAAGATTATTCATCTTTCTGTAGTGTTGGGATCATTTCCTTTCTGTTCATATATTTGAAGCAAGACTGAGCATAAGAGAGGACTTCCAGGTTTGGGTTCTTTTTTTTTCTTTTTGAAGTGGTAATTTATGCTTCTGGTAACTCCTCCTCCTTCCCTTTAGATAAAGCTTACAAATAAGGTTCTTGTCTACATTGCAAGTAGAGCCATGCTCCTATACAACTCAACTGTATTTCGAATACTTCATACTTTATAACTATAATTACTATAAAAGCAGCATACATAATGTTGTGTTTTTCCCTTCTCCCCCTTCTTAACTAAGACTATGCTATCACCCCCGTGATGCAGGCTGTGTAGTCTATAATGTGGTATACTGTGCATGAACTGTAAAAGGGATAGGATTTAACTTTACTACATAATACTTCACTACTTATTTTCATTGTAGTTTCTTATATTTGATCACTGAGTTGATGATCACCTCTGAGGGAAATCAAAGTGTTCGTGTAATTAATTTTAATACTGACAATCTTCATGAATTTTCAAACATATCAAGGATAAGTAATTCTCTGAGATTTGGGTGCCCCTGGTACTCTTTGTAGGTGGAGCCAGGTACCGTTACTTCTAGATAAGATTTCTTGAAACATTGTGTTAAAAGCCCCTTTTTCAGTTGCTTGTAGCTCATATCCTTTAACCTCTTGGTCCTAGAGCTTTGTGTATCAGATTTCTGTCTGTTTTTGAAAGTTTCAGATAAAACTCAGTTGCTTCCTGAAACAGCTGTTTCATTGCAAAGCTCTCCTGGTATATTCTTTGGATCAGACACTTTACGTTTGATAGGGCCATCCCCTGGAGTCAGATATGCCTCTTGCCATTTCCAGAAAAATGTGCTCAAGTTATTAGCTTTTGAAAAAACTGATTTGCACAGTAGAAACTTGCCTGCTTGGTAAATTCCCTGAAGATTGTGCCTCCAGTGAACATACATCAACCGATCACAGCTACAAACAAACTGGACCACATATGTGCTATGTGTACAGAGCAGCAGAGCTTGCTTCAGCTCTTTTTCTTGAAATTTCTTCTCTTAGCTGGTAGAGGCTGCTTTGTCTTGAGCACAAGCTCTGAGAAAAGAGTGTTCTCCTGTGCTCTCAGTACTCTTTTTTTGCTGCCTCCTGGGTAGTACGGAGAAGAGGGAAGAGTGCTCACTGTAATGCACAGGGGAGCTGAAAGATAGCTAAAGGGACTGTATTAGATGGGACCAGAGAGAATGGGGTTAGGATGTGGAGTAGAATAAGACAAGGGCAAATGTGGCACAGGTGTAGAAAGGCCTGGATATAACCTGGAGTTTATAGGGGGCTGGAGGAGGAACTGAAGTTTGTGAGATTTACTTTTTCTGTACTTGTTAAATAGTAATTCTCAAATGTGATCACTTTAATTGTGGAAATCCTCAGGCTTATTGTAGTGATATCAAGGTGATATTAACCTTGGACATACGGAATGACAGCTTGGATTTAATGCTTGCTTAGAGCAACTTGCAATTTGGGCAGGAATACTATGGACACAAGCTGAGTGGTTTTGATGACAAAGCCACAAGAAGCAACTGTAACAAAGGAAGGGAAACTATATTTATATTTACCATGTACTGTAAGTTATCTATGCTTTAGATCAGTAGTGCTCAACCTTTTTCCTCAATGGACCACATGGGCAGTGCCAGGTCTGTCTGTAAGCCAGATCAAGGCAGTGGTCCTGATCTGGCACCCCTGGTGGGCACAGTGTGTACCATCCAGCTGCACAGAGTGTTGGGGGCAGTCTGGCCCAGCAGGGGAGGGGAGCATAGCTTGGACCCAAGGGGGAATGGGGATGTGGCCTAGCCCCAATATAGCCCCACAGGAGGGCAAGGGGGCATGGCCTGGCCCCAACCCACTCTGATCCAGATGTGCAGGGAGGTGTGGTCCATGGGGGGAAGGGAGCATAGTATGACTCCAACCAGTTGTGCAGAGCTTGGGGTTTAGGAATTTGGCTGTGGGGACAGTGGCCATATTAATGGCCGCTGCTCCCCCACCACCAAATTTCTTGACTCATGGGGAGCCCCACAGGCAAGATGAAATGGTTCTGCCGGCCACATTTGGCCCATGGGCCAGAGGTTGAGCACCCCTGCTTTAAGTAGAAAAAATATCCAAAACTGAAAAAGGTACTGAGATAACTTTCTGCTTAATAATGTACCACTTCATTTCAGTAGTTGTAGTAGTAATTCACTTGGCTCATTGTGGTTAGGAGGTGAATGATAACTTTGCAGTTGAGTATTGTTTACTAAACTCCTTTTGAAAAGAAAGTGGGCCAAGATTTGTCCTGTGAACGTGGAAGTGAGGTCTCTACTGATTTCTGTGGGATCTGTGCGTATGGATTTGAGCAAAATGTGACTTTGTGTGTAACTAAGCATGAACTATATTGTTTGAAATTAGGATAAATGATACTAAACTATATTTATGCTCCTTTACTTCTGCCAATCAAAAAGCTGCAGTTCCTATCAAATGTCTGGGGCATGGATGCTCAACCCCCTAGCCTGTGGGCTAGATCTGGCCCCCGGCACAGTGTCATATGATCCACAAGGCCCAATCAACATGTACGTGGAGTGTGGAGGGATCAGCTCAGGGCCCAATCCTGGCATGTGGAGGCAGTGCAGGATCCCAGGGCCAATCCCATCAAGCAGGGCCAGGTGGTGCCCTGAAGCCTCATCCCAGCTGAGCAGATCCCACATCTAACTCATGGACCAGCGCTGCGCCATTTATTTGGCCATAGGGCCAAAAACTTGAGCATCACTGGTCTGTGAAGATCCCTGTTCAATCTTGTGTCATCTCTATAGAGCCTATATTTACAGGCAACCTTCCAAAGAAGAAAAAGGCAGTCCTGCCCTGTTTTGAGAAGAAAAGTAAGAGCTTTTTTAACTACCCAGTCAGATGCTTGCTGCTATCACTTCCCACCATACTCTCACCCAATAACATATTCGTTCTTAGCTCCCTGTGTAGATCAACACACTCTTACAGTAACTTTGCCCCCAAAGGGAAATGCTGTTCCTACATGAACAAACAGAAAAAGTAAGAGTGGTTTGAATCATAACTGTTTCAACCTTTGCCACCAACTGAATGTTTTGATCGTTGTTGTCATAAATAGGTGAGTCCTCGGGCCCGCACTGTTTAACATCTTCATCAGCGACTTGGACGCGGGGGTGGAAAGCACGCTGTCCGAATTTGCTGATGATACTAAGATGTGGGGCGAGGTGGACACACTTGAAGGGAGAGAGAGGCTGCAACTAGATTTAGACAGGCTACAAAAGTGGGCAGACGAGAATAGGATGGGGTTCAACGTAAACAAATGCAGGGTGGTGCACCTTGGGAGAAGGAATCCACAGCATACATACAGGCTGGGGAGTTCCCTTCTTGAAAGTACTGAGGCGGAAAGGGATCTTGGAGTCATTATTGACTCCCAAGATGAACATGAGCTGCCAATGCCAGACCGCAGCCAGCAAGGCCAGCCATACCTTGTCATGCATCCAAAGGTGCATCTCAAGCCAGTCCAGGGAAGTGATACTCCTCCTCTACGTGACTTTGGTCAGGCCGCAGTAGGAGTACTGTGTCCAGTACTGGGCGCCGCACTTCAAAAGGGATGTGGGCACCCTGGAGAGGGTTCAGAGGAGGGCCACCCACTTGGTGAGAGGGCAGCAGGACAGGCCCTACGAGGAGAGACTGAAGGACCTGAACCTGTTCAGCCTCAGCAAGAGGAGGCTGAGGGGGGACCTGGTGGCTGCCTACAAACTCATCAGGGGAGATCAACAGCAAATAGGCAGAGCCCTTTTCTCCCCAGCACCACCTGGGGTGACAAGGAACAATGGTCATAAGCTGATGGAGAATAGGTTTAGGTTAGAGATCAGAAGGCAATATTTTACAGTTAGGGTGGCCAAAATCTGGAACCAACTTCCCAGGGAAGTGGTCCTTGCCCCTACCTTGGGCAAATTCAAGAGGAGGTTGGACAATCACCTGTCTGGGGTCTTGTGAACCCAGCATTCATTCCTGCCTGTGGCAGGGGGTCAGGCTAGATGATCTGTTCAGGTCCCTCCTGATCCTAGCTACTATGAAACATGAACCATGGAGTAAGGGACTCCCAGTTGAGATTTCTGGATTTTCTTCTTAACTTTGCCAGCATCTTACATTTTACAGATCATTGGTGCAAAATGTACATGCCATCTACCACGGGGGAGAGCTTAGGTTTATGTAATGATCTTGAGATTACTCTCTGAATGGAAGAAGTTAGATCAGATGTTCTTCCTCCCTCCCTTCTTTCCTCTTCTCTGCTCTCCACCCCAATCTGTTAGGGTTTTTTGGTCAAATTGTCCATTTTCATAATTTTCCAAATGAGCTGAAAACAAGTACTGTTCATGTAAACTTTTTATCTCTACATATAATATTTTAATGACAAAAAAGGAGTTGATGGACTGATAAGTTCTGTTTGCAAAGATGTCCCTTCAGCTTTTTCTATCAAGTTGTAAAGCCAAAGTGATTTTTTTTTTGCATAGTGTAGCTCAGAAATAACTCAGTTGATATCACTGTAGCTACAGCTGTGTAAAACGAGAGATAAGAGAGAAGATTAAAGATCTGTGTGTTACTCATGTGGCTTTAATAATAACAAAAAAGTGATAAAATTCTGGGCCTGATGGCACTGTTACATTAATTTGATATCAGTGGAGTTTCAGGAGTGTGAAATCAATCCCTCTTACCTTTAGTTCGTGTTCTCTTATGTTGGTATCTATAAGTTCTTCATTTCTTCAAGTCTGCTTGCTCAGACATCATAACATCATGAATCTGCATATTTAGCTCAAATTGTCAAAGCTGTGAAATTGTCATGCCTCAGGGTGTCTTTTTTCTTTACAGAGTTCTTCTGCTTCCTTGTTGTGTTTACTGTTAATTATTGAAATGGCATTATGCTTCTGTGGTCATCAGATCATGGAGGAGATGAAAGGGGCCTCAACAGGTCTACTCTGTTTCCCAGCCCCAGAGATGTACATCACCCACGCAAATGTCTCCATTTGAAAATGTCACCACTTACGAAGAATTCCTGCACCATGTTGTGTTGTCTCAGGGAACACCTGTGGTAGCCATTAGCAAACGGTGACTCTGAAGAATGCAGCATGTTTTTCTCAATCAGTTTTTAAACATAAGCTAGCCTGCCCTCTTCTTGAATATAAAAGAGAAATATTTTAGTTTCAAAAGGAAAGTTGTCTATTTTGAGAAACCAATCATAGAATACACAGGAAATTATACTAAAGGTCAACTCTAGCAAGGGGCTAATGTGCCTTCCCAACCCATGTCATTTGTGGTGTTTTGTATTCATTAAACACTTTACACGGTGCAGAGAAATTTCCTATTGTGTTACTAATACCATTTAGAAATACTGTTTACATGAGACTGGAAACAGGTCAACTAAAATATTAGATTTTTGTGCTATAGTTTGCACTTATTTTGGTGGTGTTACATGAACTTCAATATTAAATGTGCAGCTATATTGAGATGTATGCTAGTTTTCAAAACTAGATTAACTTTCATTTATTAAATAGTTGACCAATAAGCACAATATCTACTTTTAATACAACAGTAGGGAGCATTAGACTAAATTACAGTTTTCTGTGACTTGAATTATTCTGGATGCTATTAGTAATGTTGTCTCCTCTGAATGTTTATACAAAAGTGTGGGGTTTTATATATATTCCATGTGATGCCACTTATTTAAGTTTTGAGCATATGTAACTTTCCCGTCTTCTCTGTATAATAGTGCCAACGCACCAGAATTGTTGTTCCAAGCATACTCATTTTCATTGTAAAATGCGATCGACTTAACAGTTTATAAGTGTCTTCTAACCACTGAAATGTTTTTAATTTAGCCCTTAGTGGTTAATCTACTAAGTGTTTTTTTTCCTGAAATAAAAACAACATACTGCCATGTCCTTAGATTGCATGGGCTGTAGCGGAAAGTTGTTTTATTTAACGTCCTCCATGGGAAGCAGGTTACGGTGACAGTGTTTTGTTTGTTTATTTTACTCAATTTTTTTTATGTCAATCCTTTCTTAATTAAAAACAAATGTAATTGCATAACATAATTCTTTAGCAATTTAAGACTCTCAAATAAGGAACAAAGTATGGGAAATATATAATGTACTTGTTTAATTGGCTTCCAAGCTATAGCAGAATTTCAGATTTTTAGTAGGCTTCTTTTGACTAATTACCTTTTATTATATAATAGTGTAGCAAAGCCCTGCAGTGTCAGGCACAATTGCCACATCCAACAAGGAGTTTTCTCACTTTTATATAGGAGGTTCTAGGGATTAGGGCCATAAGACAATGGGCCAAAAGGGAGGGACAAATACAAGTAACTAGATGTTCACTGTATAACAACATCACTTAAAGGGAAAGCAGTCAGTACTACATTCAGCACGTGAAGTTCCTTTCCCCCACCTCTGAAGGTGTCTCCAAGAACCAGCCTTTAGTCCAGAGTTGCTCTGTACAGGTTTCAGATGTCTCTGAGATTTGTAGTCCAAAATCACAGCCAGCAGGACTCCACAGGGCTGTTCTCCTTCTGTTACATATTCATATCCATGCACACGTGTCATTTGCAATGCACACAATGTATTACATTACACAACACATGCATTACATTATCCTCTGCCCCCCCCCCCCTTTTAAATTAATGTGCCCCTGTATCCTACTCGGGTTACGTCCTGTAGTCACTCAGCCATCTGCAAGGTCTTTGCTCCCTCTGTGATCTACCTGAGAGTTCAGGAATGGGAGCCCCAGCTGATTGTAGAACCCACAACCTGGTTCTAGTGGGTGTTCAGTCCTCTCAGTCGCACCCACTTCTCTTCGGTATCATCATTCCTGTCAGATCCTAGGTCCCACCTGACACTTCCTGGTCTAGAAGCAGCCTCTGGCAGCACACCATTAGGCTTAATAATAGGGGCTGTATTGGTGGATGTTCAATTATGAAGCCTGTAGTAGCATCTTGGTTGTTGATGAAAAGGCCTCCTTACCTCCCTTGTGGGGGCAGGATCTCTCTTCCATGAGCACACACAGGGTTTCATCTGATTATAGTGTATTGTTAACATCAAGAATCTAGAGCAAATGGGGGTCCATGAGGGTTGGAGGTATATCAAGGTAGTGTTCCTTGGGGCTCAAAAAGAGTCTATCCCATTACATAGGAAGGGAGGTAAGGGGGGCAAAAAAGCCCCCTTGGCTGAACAGGGAACTCCAGGAGAGTCTGGGGGCAAAGAAAGAGATGTATAGGCAATGGAAGCAGGGGCAGCCACCAAGAAGGAATATATCTCCCTGGCGCGCTATTGCAGGGAGACAGGCCAAGGTGGGGCTTGAGCTCAGGCTGGCTTCAACAATCAAGGACAATAAAAAGTCCTTCAGGTGTATAGCAGGCAAAAGGAAAGCTCAGAGCAACATAGGGCCCCTGCAGGACAAATCAGGACAGTTG